TGTCACGCCTGGCTGGCAGGTGGTACATTGCTCCTGATTTGTAACTCCTCTTGATTTTTATTAATAGAAATTGAATTGCTTCCTCCCTTGCAGTCATTACTCGTTTCCATTAACATGAAATTAGTTCTTCTGTACTCACTATGGTACTGTGCGTGGTGAATTTAGCCTCACTCCTCAGACTAAAAGTTTAATTCCGATATCCCTGCGGATAGCCCAATAGCTTGTCTGCCTGAAGCATTCTTCAACTGAAGCATATATTCTTTCCTTTTTATGAAGGAAATGAGACCTGGCCATCCCTTTTCTACTTGTTCCAGTGCCCATTCACTGTTTGCTCTTTTTTGCAACTCAACTGCTGGCCACTGGTTTTCAGTATTCTCTTCTTCATGCTTTTAAGGGAACTGCCAATGTCTGTGGTATATTCACCCAGTACAGTACGGGAGTAATCAGCAAAAAAATTCATTGATGGATTTGTTTGATAAACATCAGCATCTTGAGCTCTTTACATCTCTATTCTGGCATTTTCTCCAACAGTCTGGCCACAGTTTATGAAAGCTGTCTTTTCTAGCTAACATACATATTATTCCAGTGCTGGTTTCACTAACACGCAGGCAGAAGTAAAAATCACTCTCTTACTCTTACCTGTTACTTCCTTACTCCTATCTGTTGCATATCCAAGGATTATGATAACTTCAGCAATTTTTGATGACATATCACACTTAGGAGCCTGTATTGAATTCCTTATACTCTTTGGCATCACGCGTCTTATTTTCAGAAGCTGTCAGCATACTTTCTAAACAAAGAAAGCATCATTTTCCCAGTTTTCAGATGGAGAATTTGAAGCACAGAGCAGTGGAGTGACCAGCCCAAGGCTGAGTGACGGTTAAATGGCTGAGCTGGCTGAAGGTCACATATCGGACACTCCTGGAAGAGTCATTTCGTCTAACCTTAAATAGCTACAATGCCTACAGACGTGGACTAGTCATTGGGCTCCTCAATAATCAATAGAGAGAAGCAGGGACTTTTAGAGTGTAATTTATCTGACTTATCTGAAACATCTATTTTTGAATGGGGTGAATGTCACATAAGTCTTCATTTCTTCTAAAGGGAGCCTTAAATGATTGTTTCAGATGCAGTCATCCATATTAAATCAAGTCTGAATTCCACCTTACCAGACTTGGAAAAATGACTACTAACTGTGCGAAGTCAGTATTTGGAAAGCTTCGAAGATAGTCAAAGGCAGGGCAAGTCAGAGAACCTCTTCTTAATGTGGCTAAAGGGAAATCTAGATAAATCTCTCAAGGAATTCTTGATTAGCTTCTGATATCTGGATCACAAAGCCTCCAGATCACTGACTCAGCAAGGTTATGTAAACAGTTACCATCTACTAGATCATCACCAGTGATTAATTAATTATAAAAGGATCATAAGAGGCCACAAGGCTTATATTCATAATGCAGTGGTGCTAAATTAAAAAAATGGCTAAACAACTTGTGTGGCTTCTGAAAAGTTGATAAATGTTTTGTAATCACTTTGAAGTAGTAGATTCCACTTACGTTTACTCTAAACTTTTTCACTAGCTTGCACCCAGTATGGTGCCAAAATTCACAGAATAACACCAGTTGTGGCCCTACAGCGTTCATTTTAGTCCTGTGTGAAAAAGTGGTCTTGTTTTAGCTAGAGTGGAATTAATCTCTGCAAACTGCGGATGATCACCATGTGGACACCTGTTTTGAGCTGGTCTTTTTGCATCACTTGGAACATGTTGAGCCTCACTTATGGCTCTCATTGGCAATGGAGAAAAAGTCACTTCTGGAGGTTTATTCCCCTGTTTACCTTAAGATCAAATACATATTACCTTCCAAGTGCCTGTTCCTCTCCACTGGCTCTAACAGTATATAAGGCAGCTAGCTCAGTATGTGGCAGGGATCAAAGGTTAGATGAGTTAAATCCTATCCAGGCTATCTTTCTAACACAGGTATCTTTCTTGTTATTAACAGAGAGGACAAAGATTAAAAGATTCCCACTCTAGTTAGACCCTCTAAGCCAGGATGGGTGAGTGTGGGAAACATCCTAACACTAGGAAAAAAGTCTGAATAATTTCCTTTTGATCAGGTTTTTTGTTTCTACTTTCTGCTTGTTTTATATCTGAGCTTTCTTAGCAAGGGTTTTAAGAGCCTGTTTCTCAGTTAGGAGCTGGATAATGTGAAGACATTTTACAGAACCTTTACTAAGTTTATTTGGGATCTTTATCACCAAATGATTAGGTCCTTAGTACCATTTTGTGTGCAAAATCCTCTTCAATTTTAAAAGTACGTTGGCATTTTTTATTTATTGTATTAAGAAATATGTACTTAGAAGTATGTTACTGATGGTCAACAAAACACTTCAGATTACATTCGGATCCTGCAGTCAGTCATTCCTTTGTTCTTCCAGAAAGTTCAGCTTGTTATCGTTAGCTTTGCATACACCTTGGAGCACATCTTTAAACCACTCACGGCTTTCTCCCTAAATCAATTCAAACGTACCATCCATTCTGTCTCCCCTCCCCTGTCACAGTTATTTGGATGCCCTCTTGAAGGAAAATTATGTTTTCTTAGATATAAATTACATGTGTGTTTACACTAAGCAGGAAGTCAATATTTATTTGTTTTCTTTATCCTGTAACTGATTTAAGCAGTTGGCGCAGTTTGGGAATGAGCCTTCCGAATGACATAGTTGATCATTTTAATTACTTTGCTGTTGTCTTTCAGATGTCTCATGCAGCCACTAGTGCCTTTTGTCGTTCTATTAAGCTGCAGTGTGAGCTTTATCCCTCCAGAGAAGTCGCTATCTGCTTGGACCCCTACTGTGGACTTGGGTTTGTCCTCTGGTGCCTCTGCAGGTGAGGTTTCTCCTCAACATTTTAAAATACAGTTTGCATTTTATTATAACACAACAAACCGGATGATGTGAGTGATAAAAGGATGGGAAGAACAGACAATACCTCTGGGAATGACATAGGCAATTGGAATTTCTGGAAGCTGTATGGAGAGTGCTGTACGGAGAGCATGCTTTGTTTGAGCTGGGCATGGCCGTAGGTATTTAGACGTATGAGTGCAGAGCATCAACACGGCTGCTCATTGACCTCCTGCTGTTTTACTGCTGTCTCTGCAGGGTCTGGCTAGTTTTATTTGATGAAGGCAGCTCTCTGCCAATATTACCTTAAGGAAGTGGTTTCCTCGTGTCCTCTTTTTCATTCTCTAATCTGAAAGCACAAGTAGATATCAGGGACTTCCTCATTTGTGGGACTTATGGATGTGATTTTTGCAGAGACATGGAAGTGTGTTTTCTTGCAGAAGGATACTTCTATGGCTGTAGCAAAGCTATCAGAAAAAAACATTTCTAGTGAAATGTGAATCAGCTTTTTTTGTTAATAAGAAATTTAGAAATTTAACAATTCTGTCAATCTCTATACTCCAGGGAAGTTGCAGTTCAGCACTGAAAGCAGTTCCATCGATTTTTTTCTTTCTTTTTTTTTTTTTTGTTAGCTGGGTCGATGCAGAGGCAAAGGGGAAGAGTATGGGAGTGTTAATGGAGCACATTTTTATGACAACATCTTAGAGTCACAGTAGTCCGACATCTTTGCTCCCTGCACAGAAAGTTCTTTGGTGTTAGCAGTACTGCTATTTTTAGTTAATAAAATGAAGATAACCCAGGGCAATAAAAATACTCTGGATAAACTTCTTACCAATTTACTAAATACCTGAAGGAAGCATTATTTGATAACAACTGCAACAATTTGTTTTCAGCAAGTAATGTTTATTTAAAAGTAGGCTATTGGCCTGTTTTGTTGCCCTTTTAAAATATTTGTTATTAAATATTAAATGGGCCAAAGATTAGTGGTATTATCTTACTCATTCTTGATCAGTCTTTCTTGATTTAAACTATACTTGCCCTAATATTATTTCAGATTTTACACAGGGATTAGAGATTTCTTTGTTTTGAAAAATAATTTTTTTTCACATCTTATTACTTATTATTACTTCTATGCAACATCATGATAGAGCTGTAAAATACAGATAAATGTTGACCTGCCAAAAACCCAAGTAATTTGTGGTGCACATGACTCTCCTGAATACAGAAATTTTTGTTTCTTCCAGAACTATGTCTGCAACAAATAAGCATTTGCTGCCCTTAGGTCCTTCCCAATACTGATAGTATTCAGCCTTTTAGGAGTAGCGGATTGTTTGTGACTGGCAAGTGAATAAGGCAGCAAGCCTTTGGGAGAAGGCAATCAAGGTCTGTTCTTATAGAAGGAATAGAAAATTTTATACCATTTTCAAAGAAGAGAAGGGAAATGAGGGAGTTGAAGGAACTGAGATCAGGCCAGCAACACTCTAATCTTATAAACCATCGTGTCAATCTTTTCTTTGCCACTGATCTCCTGTTCCTATAAAACCAGAAAAATTGGAGGCTGCTCAAATTGCGACTGTCATTTAGAGAAAGCTGACATCAGATACAGCTTCATTAATCCCACTTACAAACTTAATTTCCATTTCATTACTATTTTAGAAATTAGTATTATTTCATGTGATAGCAAAAAATACATCCGGGAGGTTATTAGACTCTTACTCTTCATAACTTAAAACTTTGCAACTTTGCATTTTACTCTTTGTAGTTTAGCATACGCATATCCTCCCCAACATTTTACAGCCCAGATATCTACCTCAGAGGATTCTACTGTAAAGTTATGATTGTCTGTCACCACTCCCATTAACTAAATTAATACTTCTAATGGCATATGGAAATTAAGTTAGTTCTTCAATTTTTGATCAGCTAGGGGGTTTTGAGAGTCAAACAGGAACTCTTCATTTTAGGAGCCCAGCAGGAAGAGAAAGCAACCTCCTGTGCTGGGTGCGGTTAAAATGACAAGTACATTTTAATCCCTTTATTAACTAGATGAAAGGAGGCATTGACTAAGGAATGAAAGAAAAACTAACCTTTTATCCCCATTGTAGGTGCTTAGATGTTGTGCTGGCCTGCTCCACTGTGGTGCCCCAGAATGCCCCATTCTGTGAGGTCAAAGCTACTTAGGAAAGCTGCTGGAGCATGGAGCCAGCCCTTTGGTAAGTTTGGTATATATTGCATAGTTTTGCAAAGTTTTTATTTTTAAAAAATTTATTATTTTATGGCCTAATGGGTATAAAATAATAAAGAAAAGAAACCTTGCAAAGCAGAGCAATACATTTAAAAAAAAAAAAGGGGGATTTACTGCGTTCCCTCTAAACTGGCTGCATGCTCCAGCAGGGTTTCCTTGGAACCTTTGTCATTGAACAGCACGGCCTGGGTGTGGCAGCAGTCATCAGCCCCATGTGAGTTCACAAACCCCAAACTTCCTAATTTTAACAGGTTCTTACCAATGACTCAATAAAAGAATACATTATTTTTGCGTTTTTCTCTTTAATGATCTCATTCATCCATTCTGAGAGGGTGATCCTAGTATTCTGACTTGTGTTGCATTACATTTTAAAATGTATTACATTCTTTGAAAGAAAAAAAAAATGTGTCCTCCAGTGTAAAAAAAAATCAATACTAAATCCCATTGTTCAAAAATGCTTCCTGAAATTAAGATGTCCCTATCTTAGTGCTGCTCACTGTGGGGCAGAATAGAGCATTCTACAGTTTGTTAGTGAGGATTTGCTTAATTGATAGTTGCTGAGCGATGCAATAGAATAAGAATTTTCCCTCCATTTTAGCGCAGCTAAGCCAACCCATATTGCAGTTCTGCTTTTACTACTGGAAGATAGAATTGTCCTTCCTGAAATTAAAATTAAGTACATTAATAATTTTATATAAAATATATACATATTCTCAGAAACTGAGGTTGTAATAGTGCAAGTCAGTAAGACTCGAACTGAACCAGAGGAACTGAATTTTCTGGTCCACAGTGGCCACATAATAAATAGTGTGAATGCTATAAAATGGTCCTGGGAAGATTTTCCAGGTAAGGTGCAGTGAAGTGGCGTTCTCCTGTCCTACTCCTGCTGTCTCTGTTCCATAGCCACAAGCTGAAGTCCCCAGTGGTGCCGCTGGGTAGCTTCTGCAGCAAGAGACTGCAAGGTTTCTTATTAACCAAACAGGTGGAACTGTGCAAGAAGTAAGCAAGGAATGGCAGCATTAACATGAGAACTGCATTTTAGAAAACTTTAGTGTGCTAGGACGCATTAATTGTTGTTAGGTTTTTTAGGCTAACTTGAAGATACCTGGCAGGCATGAGCATTTCACCTAATTTCCAGCCCATTTATAGCAAATTAAAGGCAAGACTGCATAAAGAACCCTACATGCCACATCACAAAAGGATAATTCTGACATGGGAAGTGAACGATATGAACATAGCCATCTCTCATGTGTTTTGCAGAGTGCATTACTGGGCCAGGAGGAATGTAAAGGTGCGTCTGCCCACACGCTGCCATGCGCCCATTTCCCATGGAGTCTTTAGCCAGTGGCAATTTGTGGAAGAGGCAATTTGTATTTCTTCCACATCACAACAGGTCTCTTAAACCTGCCTCAAGTCTAGAAGGTTCAAGGGCAGCTGAAAGCCCTGACTTACCGTGATATGCGAGTTCTGCAATGTGTTGACAGACTAACTCCACCAGCTCTGCAGACCTGCCCTCACAGCGGGGAGTAACGGGCAGGAGAGGTGGTGCTTAAGGCACCGAGTGGTGCTCAAGTCTGAGCAATGGCTTGTAAATACAAACTGTGTTGTAATCAACTGAGCTGGACATCTTTAGCCTCTGCCTGCCTTAGGATGTCTCTAATGCCAGTGCCAACAGAAATCACGCTGCCGTCTATATCATCCAATTAACCTTAGGCTGTGGTTTCTGCATGTAGGGCAAGATGGCAGGCTCTCTTTTTCCTTCAGTGCAAAAAGGAAACAGTGGCCAAATTTTTAGAACTTGCTCGCCTGCTTTGAAGTATTTAGGTGTCGTGGTTTAGCCCCAGCCAGCAACTAAGCACCACGCAGCCGCTCGCTCACTCCCCCTGCCTGGGATGGGGGAGAGAATCGGAGGAGTAAGAGTGAGAAACACTCCTGGGTTGAGATAAGGACAGTTTAATAATTGAAATAAAGTAAAATAGTAATGATAATAATAACAATACAATAATGATAATAATAATATACAAAGCAAGTGATGCACAATGCAATTGCTCACCACCCACCGACCGATACCCAGACAGTTCCCGAGCAGCGGTCGCTGCTCCCCGGCCAACCCCCCCCAGTTTCTATACTGAGCATGACGCCATATGGTATGGAATAGCCCTTTGGGCAGTTTGGATCAACTATTCTGGCTGTGCCTCCTCCCAGTTTCTTGTTTCCCTGGCAGAGCATGGGAAGCTGAAAAGTCCTTGACTAGCATAAGCAGTACTTAGCAACAACTGAGACATCAGCGTGTTATCAGCATTCTTCTCCTACTAAATCCAAAACACAGCACTATACCAGCTACTACAAAGAAAACTAACTATCCCAGCCGAAACCAGGACATTGGGTAAAGGGACTTTGTGTTGGAATGGCACTGAGCGCACCAGGTTCTGTCAAGAGACGGTATGATTTCCACTGCTGGTGCTGCTGGGTCATGTGTTTGTGCTCAGGAGCCGTCAGCAACATGCTTCCCAGTGACAAGTAACACGACAGTTCAGAAGTGCCCAGTAGCAGCCCAGAGCTGCGTTAGAAAGCATCCCTTGCGAGACTCAGAGATTGCTGAGACACTTCCCTGAAAGGAGGAGGTTAAAGCTTTTGGAGGACGTGCCAATAAAAAGAAGTTTGAGTCACCTCTGGCTCTCATTCTGGGCAGACAGCATGGTCCCAGCAGGCAGTGCAGGCACTACGGGAACAAAATACTGGAT